TTTATATAAAAACATTTTTACCGAGTGTTCAATTTATAATACGCAAATAGAGTCAATGGTTTTAATTATTATGATATTATAAACGCATAATAAATTAAATCCATTCTACGATCCTATTTACGATTCTTTTCAATAAAAATATTTATTCTCCCCCTTCTCTCTCACTCCATAAGCTTTCAGCTAATTAAAATTCAATGTTTTTATTGCTTTAATTGCAGTATAATGGCTTTTGCACACAGAAAACAGAAACGCTTGTCAGGGTGACAAGAAACAACGTGGTAGCTAGTAAGTTTTTGATTTTTGGTTTTCACGAAAAAAAGGCACGTTGATTGGGCCAATCACGTCGCTTTTTGCCGCGCAGCAAGTGTTTACGCATTTTGTGTGCAGGAGTGCAGAAGCTAAGAGTCGAGAGAGTAGCGTCAGTAGTTGATAGCACGTGGCGTCAGTAGTTGAGCACGTGGCGTCAGTAGTTGAGCACGTGGTGCTACTGATGCCATATGTAGGAAGATGAGAGACATACATACGTAAGTATTAATGAAAGTAAGTAGTGCAATTGTTGTGCGTTTACTTCAGCGAACACATTTAAATGCATATTTATCGCATTGATATTATTTCCGCATGTGCAATTTTAGATGAAAAATAATGAAAAATAATAGCAATAAAAGCGGGATACCGCGCGAAACAGTGACACTGATTCTCAAAGAGGAGCGATTCGAGGTTGAGAAGCAAAAACTGATCGACAAGAGTCATTATTTTGCTGCGCTTTTGTCCGCGAACTTTCTAGAATATGGACAGACGGAACACGTTATCAATTACGACATTTCCTCGATTTTGTTGCAGGTGAACAGATTTTAATTCTTGTCAATTTTCACCAGAAAAAAATCGCTTTTTAAACGTACAAAACGATTTTTTTGTGTAACAGATTTGTTATATAAATACTTTAACAAAATGCATGTTTTTAAGGCCTCCGCACAATATAAGGAATAAAGAACAGATATAGGGATTAAAGCTAAAGAATCAAGTATAAAGTTGGCAAACATTGAATCCACAATGAAAAATACAGGCAACAGAAACAGAGAATAACACTCTGGCAATAGATTTTTAATCTATCGGAATCGGAACCGTGTATTAATGTTACACCAGCTTCATTCCTGATTTCTTATTTCTAATCGCTAACATCTGATCCTTGTTCCTTATATTTTTCATTGTGCGGAGGCCCTTAATATATAAATGTATATAGAAATATATTGCATCGGGTGTTATTGGCATGCATCATCTCATTGCGTAACAAAAATAAACAAATAATAATTTTATAGGATTTTATTGATTGGGTTCACAACGACAAAATTGCATTTACATCTGCAACAAGTTATGATTTTGAAGAACTTGATCGTCTCTTGGATCTGTTGGAATTAAGTGGTGTATTTACGGCAGATACCTTACAACACTTATTAGTAGAAGATTTAACCAACAGGCTTGAGAGACATTATTTTACGCCACCAAAAATTGCAATTAGAGCTTGGTCATTGGCACAAGATTTGAATATTAACGTGCTACGAGATCTTTCTTTGGCTCTTTGCTTAGATCGTTTCAACGAACTACCACTTGATTCAATTTGTGAGTTGTCAAAGGAAAATTTTCTGAAGTTAGTCGGAAACATTAATGTAAGAGCTACAAGGTCTTATTTGCATCAAATTAAACGTGAGTGGATAAAACATCATCAAGTGAGTATATTATTTTCAAAAATAACATTTAGAGTGATAGAAGTTTAGAAATAATACAGGAACTATATATATATGGCTTTATCTTCAATATATTTCCGATTTCTAACTCCAAGACATATCCCGTACATACTTATTTTGTTTTCTTACCATAAATAGTATTTACACGCACACACACACACACATTTATATGTATAATCCATTATACATTCATGCATTACCCCAGCTAGGTAGCAAAATGACGTTTGAAGACGTCATAATGACGTTAGAGGATGTCATTAAGGTGGAATTAATACGTCATTTGACGTTACTCTGCTACCTGGGACATTTCTCTGAATAATAAAATCTTTTCTTTTTTACAGGATTTTAGCTTTCCTTTAAACATCATAGAGAATAACAAAGTAAAATATTTACACGCTATTATAACTTTTGGACATAATAACCGTGAACAATATATTCATTGCTGGGATGGTAAAGATCTTTTAGAACTAACCTCATTCGAATATCCCACAGATATTATTGAACGTTGTTCCAACCCTGGTAGACCTCTTAAAGGAATGCAAATCACTGCGAGAAGTATGCAGTCCGTTTTTTTATTCCGTCCATTCTGTAACAGTATTATCTTTACTTACTTAATTAATATCTTATGTGATCTTCTTTCAAGGATACGATTTATATCTTTGCGGTGGAGAATATGATTATTTAGGATCAGGAAAGTTTAACAAAAATATATGGCGTTATTCTTTGACATCTAAGAAATGGTTTTTTGAGACAGTGTAAATATCCTAACGATTAACTAAATGATAAGAATAACTAGATAAATAATAGAATAAATAGCATGTTATCTGTTAAAATAATGTTCACAAATATTTTAGTATGCCAGTTGAAAGAAGACATATGATTACCGTGTATTTGAAAAACAAATTGTATCTTGTGGGCGGTGTGGGACGGGATAGAAATGCACTGGACACTGTCGATATCTACGATATTTATACAGGTGATTTTAATTGTGCAGCTACATAATGCGTATTTCGACAATATCATGTGCAAAGTATACATGTAACGATTTGCCCAAGTATATATACATACATATAATGATTTTATACAAGAGTTTTATAATATATACTTTTCATACAGATCATATAGGATTGCTTCTCATAATTATTATTTATGAATTTAATGCTAATCCCTTTAAAATTATCATCTTTAACATTATTTTTTATCGATTAAAACACATTATTTTGTTACATAAATTTTTGCTTTTGTATGTAAAACATGCATAGGTATATGGACTTCAGGTGCAAAGCTACCTACTACGATCTCTTCCTACTCGCCTTATTGTTTCAGGGATCAAGGTACTGGTTATTCATACAGGCCAAGTCGTAGGATTGCTTCTCATTATTATCATTTATAAATTTAATGTTAATCCTTTTTTATTATATTAATTTTTTCTTTTGTATTTAAACAATGCATAGGTATGTGGTCATCATCAAGGTTGACGGAACCATTAACCAGCGATTCTGAACATTTCATTTTTAAAGATACGTTAATTATACATGGATTACCTTATTGTTATAAATATTTTCCTGATAAAGATGTATGGAAAGAGATATATTTGGGAGATATTTGTGAATTAAGTAGTATAAAATACTCTTTACCTGATACACCAATACTGGCTCTTCAAACTATGTCATGTTACATTGGTAAATATTAAATTTATGCACTTAGTAGGTGTGAAAGGAATCTAAAGTTTATATTAATATGTATTGCAGATGTCGTTCACCCAGATGAAATGGTTTTAAAAGTTGTCACAGATACATGCAACGTGAAAGGTTGTAATAATATAATAAAAACTTGTTCTTACTTAACCCATGGAGGGGAGAAGAGAGATATGGACGAATATTCCTTCTTTTTAACTCCATTCTTTCGCGAGTATGACTTAATAGTGTTCAAACCAGCTGCACTATTATATGCAGATTGCATAGTACACAACAGGAGATTACACTTACATAGTATTCCTATTCAAGATCCAAGAAAGTTCCGTTCTTTGCTCTTTACCGAGAACAACTCTCCAGCTAGAAAATTTTTTAATCTACTTAATCCAGCTCATTTGCATACAACGTACTTTGACCATATTTGATTTATGTGATTTAATTAAATATTTAATTATTCGATATATCTGTGAAGAAAGAAGAGGGAGAAAAAGATAAATCCAAATCAAAATTCAGGAAATGTAAACGTTGCAGAAATTTCAAAGAAAACTTTAAAGAACGGACAGTACGTCTACATATTCCAATATCAAGATGACTATTACTTAGATTCACCGTGATGTTTTATTGATTGTCATGTCACTCAAATCATTAAAAATATTAACCCGGCAAATATCAAATAACATGCTGGGAAATGATACACTTCATAATTGTAAAAGCTTTGCATCAATATATACTT